TCATAAGAAATAAACATAATAATAAAAAAAATTAAATCATATTATGCAATTAAGGAATAAATAGTTATTTATCATTTTTTTACCTTGCCCTTTTTGCCATGAGCAATGTTGAGTCACCATAGACATCAAAGTCATTCTACTCCCATGAGTGACAATAAATCTTCATAGGCATATTGAATTTTATTAAAATAAATTTTTAATATATATATATATATATATATATAACATGAGAAAAATATTAAAATGGAATATGTAGTAAATAATTAAGTTTCATATAGCAAGAGAAAAATAAAATTTCAGCAAGCATTAAGACTAATTGTATGTCCATGAGTGATAATAAGTCTCTGTAGACACATTGAGTCATTTTTAGAAAATATTTTAAAATTATTTTTTATGTTGATTAAGTGAATCTCCGAAATAAAAGGAAATACATTAGTTCATTAAAAAAAACAAAGTTTCTAAAATTAGTATATAACAAAAAAAAATGTTTTTTAAAATTTAAAATAGGAGTAAGAAAATGAAGCTAAACCACCTTCGCAAATTAAAATACACCAACCTACATTTCAGAAAATTGTTTTATTTACAATTGATAAATTATTTTCATTTAAATTTATCTTTTCATGAAAATCATAAATTAAAAACCACTAATCCAGTAACATTCCTTTCTATCCCAAATTATATGGATTTTAATCCCTATAAAAGGGTACATAAGCCTTAAAAGTTAATTTTGAGTTAAGTCCTCTTGTAACTAAATAAATCTTTTGTTTATTTGCATTTTATATGCAATTGAATGGGAAATAAGATAAATGGCTAAATGATTTTTGTACAATAAGTTTAAGGTAACCATTCTCACAAACAGGTGTTGTGAAGTGTCTAACACTTTACTCACATATAATCAACCTCCAAACCCATCTTGTTTTCACAAACTACCCTTTTCATTTTCTTTTAGAGATGTTTTTCAAGATTTTTTTCACAAAATTTTGTGGCTCCTTTAAGTTGGTTTTCATTTCTAAGGCTGAATCTTTGCCCTCACACACCGTCCGAGTTGCATTTTTGGATGTGATACCTTCCAATAAAATAATTATTTATTTTTAAATTAACACTATCTTTTTATATATACCCCTATTTAATGAGATGTTTCACTCTAAAACATAAAGTGATTCATTTATTAGAGATATTTTTTGAAACAAAAACAATGATTACATCTTAAAATATTAAAAATATCTTATATTTTTAAATGTTCAACCCCTCAAAAATACATTATATTTTTTAACGGAGGATAAAACTATCACTTAGGACTAGTCTTTGAAGGGTTAAGGCTTAAATAGGCTGGCCCTGTTAAGCTCGATCATACTTTGAGGTTGCATCTTGACCAGCCTACCCCTAACCCTCAGGGCTGAAGGGTCAGCCCTCAGGGCCTCAACCCTATATATATATATATATTTTTTTCTTTTTCAATTTAAAAATCTAAAAATCATATTTAAAATTCTAAAAAAATTATTACACATATTCAGTCTAAAAAAATAAATTTAAGACAACACACACAACAACAAATTTCAATTTAATCAAAAGTAGGAACATCACAAAATCAACAGAGTCACTTACAGAAGAGAAGAGGGTGATAGGATGAGCGATGCAGACAAAGCTAGAGATGAGCAAGAAGAAAGGAGCGCAGAGCACGAGATGAGTGACGCCGACAGAGTTAGAGACAATGAGGGACAAAGTGACTGCGACTGTGAATCTGCTATGGATGAGGGATGGAGTAGATGAGTAGCAAGCAAAGATGAGGGACAAAGTAGTGATGGAGTGCAAAGGAAATGAGGGTTGCCACCCTAGGTCATTGCCAGAGTTGGTCGACAGACGGAGAAAGATGTAAGGAAGGAAAGGAGGGTGGATAAAGCAAGGTTGCAGTCACAGGAAGCGTGAATAAAATCAAATGAGTGAATGACTATGACTATGAGGGAGGCAAGTTAGGTTTTCTTTAAGGCTCCGTTTGGTATAATGAAAGTGTTTTTTATAGAATTGGAATCAGAATTAAAATTGGACTAAAATTGAGTTATAAAAATATGTTTGATATGGAGATGGAATTTTAATATAATTTTAATAAATATATATATTTAAATTAATAAAAAAAGAAGAAAAGAGTACCATCTACCCAAAATAAAAATGACCTCCTCTATCCATTTCATCGTTCCTTTCCTTTTTCATCATTAAACACCATATAAAGCCACTCCTCCTCATTTGTTGAACAAAATCCGGCCTTTAAACCCATTGCAACCTTCTTTCACTTTCACACAAAACTAGCAGAAATCATTCAAATTAATTCTACCTCTAATCAAAAAGCCATTTTAAATATTAATGCTTTAACTTGCTTCCTATGCATGATAAATATTGAAGTGGTGGCTGGAGGAGACTGAAGGTGGAGATCAAAGATAAATCATCTCCTGAAACTTGATTCCATGACAACCCATGACAAATAAAATAGAAGAAGACAAAGGAGAGATGTAGAGAAATCAAAACCTCTCACCCATGAAACGGCCTATCAATGGCACGGAAGAGGTGAGGCAATGGTGGCAACAAAGGTGGAGGCGGTAGTTGTAGATTGTGCACCAATAGTTACAAAGTCCAACAGTAGTGGATCGTGAGGTGCTTCCATCCTTTACCTTTGCCACCGACAAAATGATGAGTTGGGGAGCTAGTGGAGTTCGATGGCAGTTGATCAAAGAGTTAAAGGGTAGAAGAGAGATAAGGTTGAATTCTAGGGAATCTCGCCTGATTCCATAAAAGCAAGGAGAGAATCAAATTCTACTTTTTTTCCTAGAACAAGGATTCTTGAGAATCATAATTAATATGTGTCAATCATCAATTTATTTGAATTCCTGCCTCAATTTCATTTCCATGTTTAAGACTCTACCCTACCAAACATGGCCTTAGTGTATAGTGTTTATTTTTTATATTAATTTTTTTAAAAAATTATATGATCAAGCTTAAAAGTTAAGGCCATCCCTTTTATATTCAGGCTTAAAAGGGTTATACCTCCAAGAAGTAGCCCAGTTTTAGACTCTTTTGGATTTAAAAGGGTCGGTTTAATGGACTTAACTTTAATTGACAGCTCTAATAGAGGAGAAACTAAGAGATGCACGGGTATAAAAATTTAGTTTAATAGAGCAAAAACAATCAATGAGATGGAAGGCACAAAGACAAGACCACCTCAGCATGGTTGATCAACTTTTGATCGATCACTAAGATTTGTCAACATAGGATAAAATTATACCATTTTTAAAAAAATGTTAGGACAACATTATATCAAAAATATTTTAATATATTAATTATATCTATGTAGAGCTTCTATTTTTAAACTTTGCAATGATATCCTTTACAAAATTGCTAAAATAAATATTTTTTTAAAAAAGGGAGAAAATATAACTTTTAGTCCTTATATTTTACTCACAAAGAAACTGAAAATAATGAAAAATAAAAGTGTAGGAATCTAAAACAAAGAAAAAAAAAAAGTAGAGGGATCAAAACTTTTGATCTCTATACTTTACTCACATTTTGCTTTTGGTCCCTATAATTTTTTTTTTTGTGTTTTAGGTTCCTATATTTTTATTTTTTATTATTTTTAATCTCTCTGAGAGTATAAGGACCTTGAAAGGATACAAAATAATAAAAAACAAAAGTACAATGACCTAAAATATTGAAAGAAAAATAGAGACCAAAAGTAAAATACCAGTAAAATACAAAAATTAAAAGTTATGTTTATTCAAAATACACACACACTTCCTTCACCTTCCTTGTTCAGTGATCGTTTCGTAATAATGGCGAGTGGAATGAATCAAACCAGTAATAAGGTGTGTGTTGTCGGAGGAACTGGGTTTGTGGCTTCTGAGCTCGTTAGGCATACTGTGTGTAGATCTTTAAACCCTTGACTTTCCCTTTCTCCCTCAATAGAACATGTTTCAAGGCACATGGAGTCATAGATCAGTGGACACTGGATGCAAATTGAAGGACGAAAATCTTTGAAGAGAAGAGTGGCTGGGGGTTTTTTGGGAAGAGAATAATGATGGGTAAATTAGCTTTGTACGGGGATTGATTGAACGAACCAGTGGATAAATGATAAGCCATTCAATTTCGCACAGTACTTGCTTGGAGGAACCAATGGATAACCTAACATCTTCAGTGTTAAAAAAATTAACTTCAATTTTTATTTTTTTGTAAAAAATCTAGAACAGTAAGTTTAATTTCTGAAATAGACATAGTAAAGGATTTACGTAGGAGATGATAATTTCGTACAGGGGTTAATTGAAGGAACAAGAGGATAAAGGCTCAATTTAAAATAAGAAAAGATACCTTGTCCTTTACTGATAGTGAGAAACCAAGAAGACTCCTAACCTACCTCATATTTATGAATAGATGTGGCGGACTCTCATTTTCGGTTCTCTTGAAAATCCCAAGAATAACCCCAATTACTATTTATGAGGATCTACTTTTTGGTGTGGTTTTTTTATTATATATAGATACCAAATTTTAGTATAAAAGAATATTAAAGTGTTAGTAGTAGACTCTCTATTTAATCAAGTAGTTAGAAGTTTAAACCCCAACCCTTATATTTACTCAAAAGTTTATTAAGCTGTTAATTGAGTTGTGATTATTGAATTTCTCCTTCCAGCTTGACATAATTTTGGCCATGCCACAATTGAGAGGAAATCTTGTTATAGCAAAATGCTTGTCAAACTCGTAAACTAGGATTGCTATCTTGAATTTTCTGGTCTTTATTATTACAGGCATACACATTTCTCACATTTTATACTCTATTCATTCGTTGTCCAATCTTGTGACTTGGACGATTCACAATTCAAGACATAAGATTTGATTATGCTTACAGAAGAAGCCAGAGTAAATGTCAATACCATACTCCGCCAAACAAGGCAAATACATAAAGACCAGAGCTCATTAAGGAGCTTTCTTCTGAACGAATTTTGGAAATCAGAAAATCGATATTTAATACTAACTTTCAGAATACAAAAAACATTTACATTCATTTTAGGAAGCTTACAAATCCGCATCTTTCCAAGGTCATCATCTAACTTAAATATTGACAAGAATGTTAAAAAAGTACTATAATGTTACACGAAAATTTTTGCATGATAAACTACCCAGTGACGACAAATTTTTTGCATGCTTCATCCATCCAATGGCGACGATCCGTTTTAAACCTGATTTCACTGGACCCTATTGAAGATCAATCGAATGGGAGTGTGACTGTGAATAAGTTTAAACCATAAACACAGCGAAGCCACAATTCCCACACTGCCTCCGGCATCGTTTTCTTGGGGAAGACGCTGGAACTATGATGCGGAGAATTAAAATATTGCGACCATTACGAGAGTCTCTGCCGAAGTGTGATCCAAATGAAATGAGACGAAGAGGGGTGAAGTAAAGCCCACTGTCTCTCCAGATTACAGACATAGGACCACTTCTCCCTCTTTTAAGAAGTCACTTCAGAAGATAATTCCCCATTAAAGATAATGCCAAGTCTGGAAGCTAAAGGTAGCACAAACATGATACCAGGGTGGCTTCATCAGGTCCATCATTACAATAGGGTTTAAAAGGAGTAGCAGCTAAGAGATGGCAGAGAACTCCCGTTGTTTTGGCATCAGAACAGCCAATTGCAGTAAACCTTGCTGGCATAACTTCACTGGATCTTTGAATATTGTGATTCTGGCAACATTATTTTCTGTTAATGCTACATGGACAATACTAAAAGATTCGCCTTTATCAACCGCAAACTGCCATTCTCTCACTGTTATATTGAACCAATCTTTTCTTGAAGATCTTGTAGATTTAACTTCTATATACTCTTTACTGGGCTCCTCCCCAATGACTAAGTCATATGGGAGCCCCGTTTCTTTTGATTCATTAACCCACTTTACAGCAGCTTTACCAACTTTCCTAACAAAGTATTTGTGTGAAAGGAGCTCACCCAGTCTTCCTGTTGCCCTTGCTTGTGCTGCATCAGGTGTGCCAGTTATGAGCTGATCTCTCTTACTAAAAGCTGAACTCATACAAGGTTCATAAATAGCCTCTTCTAGACTAACAGTGTCAGATCCAGTATGAGGAGTTTGATAGCTGTCTTGGCAGGATTGATCTTCCAAGTTGTCACTTTCATGCAACACTAATACTGCTGTACTTCCTGCCTGCTCATCTTCAATAGTCCAGTCAGCAGCAACTGATTCTGGATCAGCACAAAATGGTAAGAAATTAAGGCTGTCGGAATCATCTTTCTTCACTTCTATGCAGCCACCAGTCTGTGCAGCCTGCGTCTTGAATCCATTGGCACGGGCATAACTAAAATCGGGTGCAGTTTTCCAGTCAGCAGGTGGCCAGTTTAAGTATACTCCAGTCTTCCTTTTTGGAAAGATCTGTTCATTTGTTTTCTGTACATGATCTGACGGTTGTAAGTTATTGGTCTCCATCAATGAAGACAAAGAGAGAGTCCAAACTGATTCTTCATCAGGAATGTCAGGCACATTTTGGCTATTTAGTATGAAAAATTCTATTTGCTCCTTCGAGGAACCAGATTCTGCCATTGTTGTTATCATATGAAGGAAATTGGCCAAGTGCAACTCAGGAGTGCCATCAAATAACAAGCGAGAAAGCTCCATAAACAAAGAATGATGATCAGCAGCTTGCGTGGCATACAAAATATTTTCCTGCAACAAAAACGGACATGTAATTATACAAGGATATAGGTTCTGGAGAGAGAAAGTTAAAACACAAAAACTAGCTGAGTTGTTGTGGTTAGACCTTGCTTTTATTATATTTTACATAAACATTGTTTAGTAATAAAGGGGATACTGTGGGTAGTGAAATAGAGATTTGTAAGGTGATTTATTCCTGAATATCCTCCTCTAATTCGGTCTCCTTATTTCTTGGAGATTCGATTGCCTTCTCTCATGTATATATCTGTGTACATACCTTGGGATGAATATACAAGAGTTTTCAACCTAATTGCTACAGTTGTAATACAGCAAATACTTCAAAAGTATGTGCGTGTATATATGTTTGTACAAAGAAATGATAGCTTTCAACATACCTGCAGAAGACAACTGCATTCAACTCGCTTTTTTGATACACCCCCGCAAACCTTTATGACATTCCTGTAAAACAGCTTCTCTACAACAATGACTTTAAGGTGATTCAGAAAATCAAATCCGGACTCCTTCAATTGAAAAAATTTATCATTATGAACTTTATATATATAGCGCTGAGCGTATGGAAGAGCCCAGTTTATCAATGATGCTTTCAGGCCACAATCGGCAAGACCATAATATATTGCTTCACGAGTTACAATCTGCACACAATTGCATAGATGTTATATTTTGAAACCAAAAGCATACAGATAATTCTTTCTAAAGTGAACAGACTCATAATATTATAATTTTAACACATAAGTGAATGTTAAATTTGTATCCAAGACACATCTCAGCTTATCATGCCTTCCTTGTGAGAAGACCTGTAAGCTCAAAATAATCATGCATTCAGGGGGAAAAAGAAAAAGAAAATAAAAAGTTCAGGCATGGATTTTCAAGGGGAAAGTCTATTTATTGATCACTGAAAAAAACCATTTAGATAATACATTCTAGACATAACGTAACTTCTCCCATGAGAAAAATGGTGACAGCTCTCAAGAGTGGAGTAAATCCTGAATGCCCAAGACCCTACTAAGTTAACGCTCTATGCGGAACAATCTGATTAGAGGAACAACTGAGACATCCAGACTATATGGATTATAATGATGAAGACAAGTGATCATACTACCTCTGACACAGATGAAATGCCCAAGGCTTTCAAGAGGATTGAAAGATTTTGTTGAAGGATGTCTTGATCCTCATCAGCGAGTTCTCCCAAGTAAAGAAAATCAAGGTTATCTGAATGCTTAAATTCTTTTTTCAAATTATCATCATCACACCAGCACACTAGACCAAAGGAAGGATGCAGTGAAACCCACTTATCTTGGATTGTGGGAAGCACTGGAAATTCCAATGTTGAAAGGCATTCTTTCAAATATATTAAATCCTCAATACTCAGCTTCCCTGATTTCAATTCATCTGCCCACTTGAGGAAAACATTGAGAACCTGTAAAGGGGATTAGATAATTCAGGGAATCAGGCCAATCTGCAATAAAACTAAATCAGATAATACTTTATCCTGAGAACATACTTTATTGGCTGCTTGTGAAGGTAAAGTGACAGTTGAAAGCTGCTGCAAAATATGAATGTAGCTGCGCATAGGAGGTGCCTCATGCACTCCACATTCATCAACAAAGAATCCACGAAGGCCAGGGTAGATTTTACATAAAGACTTGTTGATAGAGGAACAAGTACTCTCATTTGAACAACTTTGAGGACCAATGTCATTCACTTGGTCGACAGAGCCAGTTAAATCATGCCAATAGACTTCAGAAGGAGGCACTAAAATTCCACATACAACGTCATCATGCCTAGTGACAGATGAGTTTGGAATAAATATAAAAGGTCCTGACATCAATTGCTCCATTGTTTTCTGCCTTGATGATGTCATTTCATTCCAGATGAATGCATACAATCTGGACATTTGTGTTATGCTGGCATAAGAAATAAATAAATAAAAAGGCGAGTAAGTTAGTTCCATTCATACGAGTAAGTTGTCTAGCAATGCAAGAAGTCAGCAAAATTCAGGATAGGCAAAAAAAAATATCACATGGAAACACTAGCAGACACATTTGCTATACTCACAGAACCCTTTTCCTCTCACATGATTATACTTTGAAGATAAAGATTAAGTACAAGATAAACTCAAAATAATTGTAAGCACATTAAACAATTATTAACTCTTAAGACAAGTGATAATGACACACAGGCTCTAGATAATACATGGCTTGTTAGTTTCTGGTTTAATATTTACGTTGTTACCTATTAATTTTAATATCTCTTAAATGTTGTTAGTTACATGATTAATTTTCAGGCTTGGGATTATTCATGCTATACAGGATGTATCCTCGTTGGCAAAGATCCTACTTGCATTCGCATGCTGCCATCAATAATCAATAAAGAATTAAACAGGAGGAACAAATGATTGCTACCCAGAATTTTTGGCTAAATTCATCTTCAGTTACTCAAATTCTCTTAATGTTCAAAAGCATCCCATTGAAGTTCAAAAGCCGATAAGAACATACCTTGCATTGAATGGAGGCTTCAATTTTCTCCAGGCTCTAAGAATCTCCAAAATATCACTGAGGGTAACTCTAGTCTTAAATCCAATATCACTTACCAGCCTTTCACTTCTCACCTGATTTGATGTATAGAATACGTTGGTACAAATTTAAGTTCAATGACATTGTCATTCTAAATACCAGAGACAGAATATCCTGTAAGCATTAGCAAAATACAAATTATGACTCACAAACCTTTGGAACAGCATATGGTGCAGAAGCTCCCAGAATCATTCGAACTGCTTCACAATCATAAAATAAATCTTTAGGATAGTGAAGCTCATCATCCATTGTTGACGCTACCCATTGCATATCACACATGTTGTGCATAAGACTAGTCTTAAAGGGATAATCATCCCCATCAGATTTAGAGAAGTAACTTGTGGTTTTATCACTGTAACAAGCATCCCATAATGTGTCAAGAATTTCCAAGAGATGCTGACAATTTTCCTTGCTACTACTTGTAGACAACAGGGTTAGCAACTGCACTAGTTCTGGGGATTCCCAATCTTTCACTAACAGTTCAGGAGATATCAGACCCTTATCCAACATCACATGCTTAAAAGTAAAATCACATACATCAGCAACACTCTTGTCCACCTGAACTATTTGAGCGAAATCTGTGATGCCAATTTCCTGAAAAAACTCCCTCCAATTTTCCAGTCCACATGAAAGAGATTCATTAACTGGGTGCTTTAGATAGTTGATGTCAATCTCGGGCCAATTCATATCTACAGTATCAGCCAACATTTTTGCATTAACTGGATTTCCATAATCTCTGCTGAAATGAATTGGTACATTACCAAGATTTTTAAAACCATAATTTGTCAATAACAAAGATTTGCATCGTAACTCTGAAATTATAAGCTCCCTCTCAACAAAACACTCAGAGCAGGTAGATCTCAGGTGCAGCATGACAAAACATATGTATTCAATCATCAACATTCTGTATTGGTCAGCCCTTTTTACATCAGACATAGCTGGTAAGATATGTAGCTTTACTATATCATGGCCAGATAACTTTTGAACTCCAATACTCTGAAGCAACCTGGTAACATTGTCCACAACAGCCGAATTCAAGCATGAAGTATCACTAGAAGAAGAAAGAAGGGAAGGAGCTACAGTTCGAAGATTAGCACATATATTAGGGAAGACTTCAATTTTTTGCACACCATCAAACCCCGTGCTTAAACTATTTAAGTGCAACCATATAGTGCCATCACTAACTGAACTGTATGCACCATCTGAAAGTGGAATAAATGGAATTTGTTTAAGACTTTCTAGAATATCCTCCCTTGTTTCAAAACTTCCTGACATTTTACCAGATGAATAAGATAGTGTTACATAGATTGTATCAAGAAAAGAAGCCAACCAACTCATACCCATTGATATCATCCCACTACTTCTGCTACATATCTTTGACATTACTTCTACAAGAATATTCACTCCAAACTCCCTAATGCCTAGTGCCTTGGATAGTGCATCAGATAACTCTACATCTTTATCCAAGAATCTGAGTCCAATGTGTTCATAAAGTAAGTCATCAGTAAGAATACTGCGCACTTGTTCAGTCCAACCTCTAAGGACCTTGCATGGAGGGGCCCATTGATTCTTGCTACTGTCCACAAGTAAGCAGTTTGCCATACGTAGATTATTAATTATCAAACGGGGAAGACTGAAGAAAAAGCCATGTACTTCTCCAACTAAAGGAACAAAACTCATGAAAGCAGACAATGCTTTTCCTGGATTGCTCCTGAAAGAAGGAAGTTCACAAAACTCTCTTTGAGCTCTGATAAACAAGCTAGGGTACTCTGACAATAACCACTGATTCCAGGGACTATCACCATCAACTTCCTCTCTGGATGAAGGTAGAACAAAATCACCTTGAAGAATAAACTTCAGGCCATATGTTCTTAAAGGGAGAAATGCAAAAACTGGCTGCTGATCCAAACATGGACTGTAACTATTATCAGATTCCTGCAGAGTAAACGCCATGGAGATTTCAGTTGTTTGCACATCCAAACGAAGAGAATTTGCCTGCAACTTCGGAGGTACCTGCAACTTCTGAGATACTACAAACCAAGTCATTTTTTCTTCCCCATATGAAACCCGAACAATACCATCTCCTACAATCTCTTTTCTCATATCAGTAAGTGTATCATTGAGAAGGTTTCTTAACTTGAGACACTTGAGGCGGTGAAGGAACAGCAATAATGAAGGATGAAGATCTGAAAACATAGAAATGATGCTATTCATGATAGTTCCTTCAGACAGATGAGACCTGAATGGAAGCAGGATGCATGTTTTCCAAGGATTAGTATCACATGAATCAATATCAGTAGATGCCATCCTACTGAACATGCCAATATCGCAAGGATGTACTACTGTAGGCAAAACAAAGCCAATTTGGCCTTCACTGATGTCAAACTTGACATGAAATCCATTAGAGTGAATCTCTGGAGCATCCGTCACCTGAAGTGAAACCAATCAAAGTTGGTGAGACAAATTGTCAGCAAAACACAACCACGAGCTGGAAGGGGATATATTCTCTAACTTCCAATAACCATGCACAGCCTTAATATGTACCCAAGCAAATTAATATATCTCATATAAGAACCAAAGTCAGCTAATACTCGCGACATTCTGATAGGCACTAATACAATGCAATAAGGAAATAAGAGAAAAAGTTGAAAAGGGAAAGGGAAAAACAGAAAGGAAGAGAATAGAAGGAAAATTAGGGGGGAAACAATAGAGCCCTTTGAAAAGATTAAACGAAAAAAGAATACCGGCATAAATCTTGATAAATTCATTAATGCAACACAACATGACCAAAACCCTAAGGAAACCCAAAAGCATAATCCTTAATGTGGGGCTGAAATCTCAAAGTTAATAGGTGTCGTTATAAATGATAATAGTAACAAACCAATGAACATACAACTCTTGGCACATGTAATGTTGTACTTAGAAATAGTAATAGTAACAACAAAATATGGCTCATGGTTAATTGCTTTAAACCAAATCTCAATTCATACAAGGTGAAATTTATAGCCAGATATAGAATGGCCATACCAGAGGGCTTGTGTTTAATACCTTTATGAACAATGATCTTTGCACCATATATAAAAAAACATCGATTGCAATATTAATAGCGATCACAAAGCAAGCAAACAATGCAAGCAAATCACATAACCATTCCCAGGAGTTGACAGGGAAGAAAACAAGTGAAAGAACCAATTAGTAACTAAATGATAGAAATGAAGCATAAGACTACCTATTTTTTTAAGAAGAAAATAAAGATCAATTAAAAAATTACAAAGAGTCAAACAGTTGAAGATAAAGCATAGTTTATGAAATAAATCCCACAACAATAAAAGGTGATGAAGCAACTATAAACCTTCAGCACTGTCTAAATGTATTCTTGAATACTTCGGTTTCTCAGCATTCATATTTGAATCATACTAATTTTTAGACTAATTCAATAAAATAAAACGATCATTTTTTAACATACTCGAAAAACAGACTTGAAACCTATGCCTTTCTGCCCTATGTATCCAGCATTAGACCCTTTCTTTGTTGAATTTCCAACATCACAAAGTGCCCGCATATTTTCTGCAGAGAAACCTTGTTCATTATTCAAAACAACAATACCAGAATCGTGAAGAATAAATATCAGTGTTGGTTCCTCATTCTCTGGATAATTATTATCATCTGCATTCTGAACCTGAGCAAACATGAGAAATAATTTGGTAAATGAACAGAATATCAACCAGCATATACAAGCAACATCACCAACACAACATTAAACTGAATTTCCAAAACTCAAAAGAGTTACAAAAATGAATGACTTTACTATAATCAAACCATACATAAACAGTACAAAGTGAAAGTAAAAACTGTAGATGGGATACCATATTCCTCGAGAATAAGTGTTGTCTCAGTCACTTGCATATTCAGAATACAAGTCCCAAATAAACAATTAAATAGGTAATGTTAATCAATAACAGGACACCAAGAAAGATTTTGTTCTTTGAGAAAGGAAGGTTAGGAGAAGTTGAAGTATATGCAAATGTTGATAGGGCAGGTTCAATCATTGACAAAAATTCCACAATAAGATACTACACCTTTGTGTTGAGAAACTTTGCTACACAGAGATTTATATAGATTAAAAAAAAATTGAGGCTAGAAGTAGTGCTGAGGATGAATATCGAACACTTGCGTTAGGTGTCTGCAAAGGAATGTGGATTAAAAAGGGTGTAGGCTGAACTTAAAATTAGCATTAAATATCCAATTAAAGTATTGTGCAACAACATGGCTATTATCAGCATTGCTAAAATTCCTATACAGCATAATAGGACCAGACACGTGTAGACAGATCATCACCTTAAAAATGAGACAATAGACTCAAGATTAAGTGATGTGATGCGTGTAATCACAGGCAAACAAGTTGCAGATTTGCTCACCAAGAAATTTACAACGACAGCACTTGAAGAATGCAAGTTAGGAATTGTAAGCATCTATTCTCCCTCAAGGGGGAGTATTAGTGAGATACTACGTAGGCATTTTCACAAAATCCCATCCTTTTAATGGTATAATTGCAAATATTGATTCAAACAATTGCAAACAGAAATCACAATTGCAAATTGAGAATTATATTTAGAATTTAAATATCTCATTTGCAATAGGAATTCCTGGATTTGCAACTATGTGAATCGTAATTTACAAGTTTTTTCCCAAAAATTTTATCAAGGACCTCATTGTCATCAATTCTCTCTTTCAGGACTTAAGAGTCATTCTCCCTTTTTTTCTTTAGAAGGTATAAAAGATCACTCAATAGTATCAGATTTCCAATTTTTTAGGTCATACTTTAGTCTTAGACAAACTAAAGCACAGCTGCACAGGAACTTCTAAGTTTTCTTGTCATCGTGAAGATTTTGAGGATGATTCAACCAGAAAAAAATTTTGTGCTCATCAAGGTGGAAGACAAAAGAAGCTATGAAAAAACTAAAAGCTGAATCTAGATTTTCTGGCATGAAGAGGAGTTTCTAATTCTAAACACTGATAACTATTGTACAGATATTTGTAAAGAGATCATATTGCATTCTCTTCCTCCAAGACATTCACTTCTAAACATTCTATATTCTGAAATGCAGAGAAAGAATAATTGAGGTGGAAAAGCATCGTGTCCCAGATAGCTTCAAATGAGGATTTTAGAGACAGTATAGGATTTGCCAAGAGATGGCAGAAATTTAAATAGAACAGATAGTTTAGATTGACACACACACAATTGGTGTGGATTGAAGCCACATACAGAATGATAAACCGTTTTTTCTTTTTCTTTTTTTTTTTTATTGAAAGAGAATGATAAACCTTAGTCTCCTAGTTCCTGAAATTAATTTCCTCACGACTATGTAACAGTGATGTATAGCGGTGAAAAGAAAAGGGACAAGAAGAGAAAGAAGAGGAAAGGAGAAGAATAGGAGACAGAATAATAATAGAGAGAACAGAGAGAGGAAAGGGAGAGAATTCTGAGTAATATAGGTGATGACCTGATCCTTTTTATTTTCCTAGCAATCTTAACCCAATACCTACTAACCAGAGTCTTACCCAACTAACCCAGTAGCTAACTAACTAACTATCTTTAATATGCATTTTACAAAATTACACGCAGACAGGCTTAGTATATTTCCTTCCCAACAGATCTCAATTGTTTCAGAAATCTCCTCACCATGATGTTTATTAATACATTACACAAGTTCTATGGAGTTTGACAATTTGCAACTAAAGCGGCATTTACTCCCGCCTATTGTAATACACGCCTCATCAATATATCCATTTTGAACTCAATAGACCATTCAAAGCACAAGTTAAAATCAAAACACAATCTCGTTTAACATAAGTTACTAATTTACAAAGATAAACAGTAATAAGTTGACAGATAAGAAGCATTCATTAAATATAAACAAAAAAATAGAAGAAAAACACTATATTTACCAGTTCAAGAATAAAATGTGAATCTTGAGAATACAGCTCTTGAGAAAGACAATGAACTGCCCTCCCTAAGCGGGCATGTTGCTTCTTCAACATGTTGCTCTCACTATCAGAAAGACTAGGATCTAAACCAAATTCATCCCGCCTGATAGATTCAATGACCAGAGATGCATCCTTTTCTTCAAGGAGCCAAGATTCATCTTGCAAGCTATTATAGACCAGTTCATCATTATTGGATTTTCCTATGTCAGCTGCTTGACCTAATTCACAACAAACTTTGATAAACCCACTTGCCGTAGATGATTCAATCATATTTTCTTCAGGCACAGGAAATTTATTTTTAATGTCTTGGTCATGCTTCAAGCCTATGCTTACCTTAGTTTTACCAGCATCCAAGCATGAATCACCAGCACACAATAGTTTATAATTGTCACTTGAAATAAATGCATGGTAATCATTAATCCATTCCAAAACACCTAGAAACAGTCCTACTTCATGAAGCATGAGACGTTCTTCCTTGTTGCATTCACATAAAATAGCAGAAGCAGCATCCTTGAAAACAGATTGCATTCCCGAAAGCAACACATCAGCAGCAAAACTATGAAATTCAGCAGGTAGATAACCAACACAATTAAGGACAAACCTTGATAGGATGGGCACTGCCTTATTTGTTTTTTGTATATGTTTGCACAACTCACTTCTCGTATTAGTTGTTGAAATGTCGGCAAAATTTGTCATATCATTTAATGCTTCCCCAGGCAGCACAGAATGCCTACCATCACTGACTTCCATATTTTCCAAGGCATTTCTCAACATGACTTCAAAAGCATGGTGAGAATGGCATTTTAGAAGTGACAATGGAACATAGTTCTCTCCCCCAAATAGACAAAATAAAGATATCAAATTCACTGCTGTTTGGAAAGAAGATCCTTGAACTGCAGCCTCAAGGAAAGAGTCCAAAGAAGCAGAGGGATCTAAACGCAGCACTTTTCCATCTTTGGCAACCAAACACAACAACTCGTCGGTATTTACTTCCAACAACCATGATGTAAGAGATCCAAGGGAAGGAGCAAACATAAGATCCCAATGCGACCACTTGCTTAAGTCAGACAACATTGGTGCCCTAAGTAAGATTTCAATTGCATTTCTAGATGTAACATTTCCAGAGATTTTTAATTTCTGGTCCATATCAAACTTCTCAGTAGTAGCTTCAAACCAATCATCATCTCCATGGCTTAATGAATCTCGGAAATGGTACTTTTCTATCATTGTTGCAGAAAATAGAACACGTTTTGATGTTACACTGGCTTTATGCTTTCGTAAAGTATCTAGAAAATCTTCCAGGGAATTATCTTCCATAAGTTCAAAACCAACTGCTGGAAATTGCCTCATAAGGAGTGAAGAAATCATCTGTTTGGTTACGGTTTGATCCTCCCACAAACTTAAAAAAGCTTGTGACATTAGAGCAGCCAACTGATTTGATGGCATGCAGGCTTCCAAAGAGGATTTTTCACATGTGCCCCCAACCAACAATTTGAGCATCTCATGAGGTAACTGGGAAACATACTTCTCAAGGAAGAATAGGAAATCCCCATAACCAAGAGAACCAAAGTTCTGTACACAAAACTGCTCAGTCACCCAACTTTCACAGTTTTGAAGTTTCCTCAACAATGTAATTTTATTTTGTACTGATGACTGACAAAAGTTAGGTACATCACTATCACGTACATAGGCTTCAATTTTTCCGATGATGTCTTGAGTAGAATAGCCTGTCAAATGAGGTAAAACTTTTTCAGAAGCTGAGATAATCATCAACACAACTTTCTCATACAGGTGGAGACAAAGAGGAACAAAAGCAATATAGAAGTCACAATAATAATAATCATGTCTTAAAACAGAAAAAATTTCTCTAGTTAATCATATAAGCATAAGCGAGCAAACAACTGAAACTGAGAGTTCACTCTATTAGCAAATGAAAATGAAATATAGCCATATTTTTCTCATTGAATAAACGAACTACGGATGTCTGTAAACAACCCAAAAGCTTAACATGTTATTTTCTACTATCTTTCTGATGAGTTTCAATTAAAATTAAAAATTAAAAATTTACCAGAAAAACAAAAGAATGAAACAAAAGAAAACAAAACTATACGGTTTATCAACACCCAAAGATCTGTTTTGCATACGTCCAATTTACTTTCATGTGATCTGAAGTAGCAGAGAATTGCATTCTATTATAAAATGAACACTAATTGATGCACTTACACTATTTGGTTCAAGGGGAGGGGATGGGAGAGATTTTAATGGAGGGTTGTTTGGTTCAAGAGGGGAAAGGGAGGGGGAAAATAATTACATATGAACAACAATAACAACAATAAGCCTTATCCCACTAAATGGGGTCGACTACATGGATTATATGACGTCATTATGCTCTATCATTTATTAAGTTTTTAAAAATGTTGTTAATTAAAAGATCTCGCTCAACAACCTCCAAGAGTGTTCTTTTCTATCTTCCTCTACCCTTCTTGACAGAGCTCAAAGTTATTTGTCCCACTCTCCTCACAGGTGCCTCCCATAGTCTTCTTTACACATGTCCGAACACCTCAAACGATTTTCTACCATTTTTTCTTCAATAGGTGCCACACCCACTTTTTCCAGTATTCGCTTATTTCAAATTTTGTCTTTACACGTATATCCACACATCCATCTCAACATTCTCATCTCTACTACTCCAACTTTATACTCTTGCTGTCCCATCAAAACCCAACATTCACTACCATATAAAATTGCTAGTCTTAGAGCAGTTCAATAAAACTTTCCTTTAAGCTTATCAGGTACCTTATGATCGCAAATAACTCCTTTAGCCTTTTCTCCAATTAAACCACCCAACTTGTATCCTATGTAATATCTCCATCAATGTCCCCATTTTGTTGAATAATTGCTCCCAAATATCTCAACTTTTCCACTTGAGGTATGATCTGATCACGCAATTTCACTTCCAAGTTACCACTCACTGACCATAAATATCTCCAACAACTATACCCTTACCTTATTAAAATTATTTTTTTTCTTACTTGTTTTTTAAATATTAAATAAAATATACTTGTGAATTTTAAAAAGATATGGATAAAAAAAGAAAGTGAGCTAAATTAAAATCATAACATATAAATATAATTATAATTATATAGTTAATATATTATGTAAATGTTCAAAGATATAACCACATGCATTGAATATATAGAATAAAATGTTCAAAGATATATATATATATATATATAATAATTAGTTAGAAGATATAACCACATCCATTGAATATATATAATAAAATGAGACCAATTGGAACTTGCAACTAATTATATTCATTAGCTATATATCAGTGGCATGATCTACCATGATAATATTCAGTCCACAAAAAAAAAAAAAGGAATGCAATGCTCGATCAAAGAGCATACAAAAAAATATTAACAAAACATCAGAATCATGACATAAACAAATGCAATGATCAAAAGAAACACCCTGCTTATAGAAGGACTAAATCAAGGAGCATGCAACAATATATCAAAAAATAATAGTTTAAACAAGCAGCAACATGCTATTTTAATAACTAGAGAACATCTTCATAATGACTCGCTTGCATGCTCTTGTCAGACAGACAATAACAGCTCTAAACTTGGCAAGATCATTTATGAGGAAGCAATACATATCAAAAATCTTGTTAGTGCCAAACCCACTTCCTTTAACTAATGTTTATTTTATTAAATAATTTGATCAGATCAAACATATCTTTTTACACATGCTTATTCGTATAGTCACAAATGAAAGATATTTGTATAGTCACCAATTAGACACTAGAGTTCTATTGGCAATGGGACGTCTCATAACAGGTCATCTGGTGCCTCATTTCCCGTTCTAGCTGTGAATGAGATGTTAGTGGTTTAATAAACTTGTTTGAAAATACAAGCAGTCCTCTCTAACCAAATATGCCATATGACAGCAAAAACTGTACATTGCCACAAAATGACGATAAAATATTAAGATATGCGAACATTATGAGATGGAAAGTTTCTTCTTTGTGGATCATTATCTTTAATAGCTTCAAAATCAATTGAATACAGGATGGTTCACCTGGTTTACGCCTAAGGCAACGGCAATGGTGGTGGCAGTGGCGATGGACACTGCTGCAGGTCATGGTTGGGACTGATGTGAGATCAATCCCGAGGAGGATGGAAATGAAGTGATTAGGTTTGATTAGAGAGGGGCATTTTTGGATTATCAATACATAGCATGGGTAAATTAGTCCCAATACAGCAAGATTATACCTCTTCCCTCCATAGCCCCCCATTTTGGAGGGAAAGGTTGGGAGGAGACGGCAGGGAAACCCCTGCCCCCCCCCCCCAGTTTTCAATACCCAAACAAGGGGAGAGGAGCAAAATCCCTCCCCTCCCCTCAAACCAAACAGGGGTTAAGAATAAAGGTACCACTATTTATAGCCCACGGCCTATCAAGAATCCAAAATCTGTTGAAGACTGTGGTGCCTAATTTTTTTTTTTTTTTTGGTAGTTATTACTTTTTCATTCTTTGCTACTGATTATTTCTGTTATTTTAGGGCAGTCAGCTCGTTTAAAACATTCTGTTTCACCCTAATCTGATACAGGAGAGCTGATTTGAATTAAGATCTTATTTCTTCTCCATACGTACACAGCTTGAGTATTATTCAAATAATAGGATCAGAGGAAAACCTGAAAACCTCTTTCTCCACAAAATCATAGCCCTAAGAGAGAGGTCATTTACTGTAAACTCAAACATAAACAGATACAAGGCAGAGATGAGGGAAATGGGTAAACAAGGCAATCTCCAAGTTAAGAGAATGCGGAGCCTTGTCTACATATTACCACTCAACAGACACATTTTCTACATCGGGAAATATTTATTTATCCATAAAAGGAGAGGAGAGAAGAGAAAAAAACAAAATAATGGAGGCCATTTACTATCCCAAATGAGCTCTTCAATCCTTCTGCCAATTCCAAAGAGACAGCCCCATGAAATATAGTGGCCCAAAGCCCTCAATGATGCCCAAATTTAAAAAAAAAAAAAAAAAAACCATGAGGGTGAAAATGAATAAATCTTATATTATAGAAACTGGCATTTTACTCTGACCACAACCAAAGCAAACCCATAAACACAGCACACTACTGTAAATATATCTAAGATTCTTTCCTTCTATAAAAGCCTCTAAATTTAGGAACAGCCATAAAGAAAATCAAAATGACAGACAATTTTTTTATCCCAAATGGGATCTTCAATCCTTCGGCTAAATGCCCAAGAAAAAGCCCCCTGAAACACCATGGCCCAAAGCCCTAGGTGATGCCAAAGAAGACATCTCCACAAGGGTGCCAGTGAATAGATCTTATATTAAAGAAACTGGCATTTCACTCTAATCATATCCATGGCAAACCTAGAAACACAGCACACTGCAAAAAGATCTAAGATTCCTTCCTTCTATAAAAGCCTCTAAATTGAGAAACAAATAATAAATTAAATGAAGTCCACAAAGTTGTTAAATAATTCAAAAGTCTCATTGTCACTGATAAGTGATTATTTTATAATTAATTAGGTATATATTTTGGTTTAGATTTTGGTTATATTTATTAAGATTTCATATCTATTTAATTAATATTTATATATTTTTTCCTCATCACTTATTTATAAGATAAAAAGAAATTTTAATACAAAATCTACTTGTATCCTTTTATTTTTAAATTTTGCAAAGAAAAAGAATAGATCAAATAGAAGAAAAGACGGAAAAAAAATATATTTATATATATAAAAGAAAAAGGAAATAATTCAAATCTCATATATTTATACAAATTGATGAAGCAATCCTAGAGGAGATTGGACTGTGCTATTCCAAGGAGAATAAAGAGAGATACGTATGTGAAATAATATATATATATATATATTAGAGTCCCACATCGACAAGTAATAAAAGGAGAAGTCTTCACTTTAACCATAAATACTCCCCTCCATCAAGCGGGAAGACATCGAATCACTTATTTGAGTACCTCAAGAATTCTCTCGAAATATTTAGAGCCCGTAGAAACATTCTGAAGGTTGAAAGCAAGATCGTTGAGGAGTTCTACAATTCATAATTATTTCTTTTCTACTCCTTAATTTTCTCTATAATCATTTTTTATGATTGGGGATTTTAGAACACTGTTATTTGATTTTATTATATGTTTTTAAATTACCCAGTTGGGTAGAGAGATGTAGCCCAATTGGAGAAATAGTTTTCTATTTTCTTTGTTTTGACTCTTTACATTTATATTTATAAATATTTTTTTCTTTTCCCAATTATATTTATTTCTCTTGTTCTTTATCTTGATTTAATGACTGGCCATCATGTAATCAAATCTATAGGTAATCTTGATGGATTGGGAGGTGAAGAGAAAACCTAGATCTAGAGAAATAAACATAAATAACTAGGCCAATGATAGTTCTAAAAATTTGTGGTGACTTAAACTATAGCTTCACAGTTTAATTAGTTGCTTGGGTATCATGGAAATGAATTCAATGCTAATTAAAAAGAGACTAATAATTCGAGAGAATATTAGGATACTTTAAGAATAGTTGTCACTTTAATTGATTAAAGTCAACTCAAAGAGTAAAAACTAGCAACCTATAGGATAAATCCTAAACCCCAACGCTTCAAGTAATTGTGTTTTCATCATCATTATTTTCTTAATTTATTTTTTATTCTTTATATTTTCATCAAAATTATCCATTTTATCTATTTTTCTTGAACTATTAATTATTTAAATTAGTAAAAGTGTATCAAGTCAGCACATGTAATGATATGCTCTGTTGAATGGATTTTTTTATCACTTTTTTCTCATTGTTAAGACAAAATCTTGGCTACTTTATAAAAAGACCAATACAAAATTATTCAGCCAAAGCTTGTTTAGAAGGTAAAACTCACAATTTATATTCTGTGTGTTGTTCTTTGTTACAACCGGCACAATCTTGTCACTTGGTCCAACATCAATGGTCTCATACTCAGAATCCTTGTTGGCATGTGAGTTGTCTAGTTCATTATTGCTGATAGCCTGGAAGGAATCATACATGCTATTCCACAATCCAGATTTAATGGAGGAAACCTGCAGCATCACAGAGCCAAAGGAATCTTATTGATGAATAGCATAGTTATAAAGAAAATACCAATAAGGAGAAATATTTGAGCCATAGATTATAACACAGCCACATCAAACAGTAGAACATAGAAGAAAATGAAACATTTACAGAAGTATAACATAAATTTAATCTCCATGAAGAGACGCATTTATAAGAAAAGAATACCATACAGAACTAAACAGTATCATGACCTCTCCAACAACTAAACACAAGACCATAAATATTGCACAGCTGAATATTTGTTTTTTATGGACAAAAAAATCTTCAGCACAAGACAAATCCATTGCTCAAATCTGACAAACAATAAATAAATAAATAAGTTTCAAGGCAATTGACCCATGAGCAACATATGAAAAGAATTTTGAACTACAATCCAAAAATATCAAGAGGTTCCACAAGCCCTCTCAACTTAAACAGGGCATATTGATATTCATTGTGAAATTTCAGAAAATCCATATTGTCAGTGGAGAACCAAAATCAGAAAATAAATGACAGTGAAAGCCAAAAACAAGAAAGAGTCCTAAAATCACTTCCAAACCAATAAGAACCTCTAAATGACACCTCTTAAGGTGAAGAACCAAATCACTTCCAAGCCAATAAGAACCTCTAGATGACACCTCTACCAAAAGGTCTCAACCATTCTATAAGAATTTGGCTCCCCATACAAAATTACAACATAAGCAGTAATACAGCACATTGTACCAACCACATTTTACGAAAACAGCATCAAGGGTCACAGGCTTCTCAAGTAATAGCTTAAAGACAAAACCATAAAATTCCCTCTCCTAACATCTTCTACCACCTCATTGCCTACCAAAACAAAACCAAAATCTCCCTACCAAAAAAAAGAAAAAAAAAAAAGACACTTTCAATATAGAGATGATTTGAAAGCAAAGCAACAACAATCCACTTTACAAAAGAAGGACCAATGATGAGCTCGTACACACTAGTCTACAAATAAAGTAATGGCCTATAAACCTTAACTCCAAGAGATTATCCTTTTTTGGCACTAAGAGTGATAAAAGTACAATCCACACTTATCCTAATCTTACCACTACATGGAAAGTTCTCAAACACGTGAAAAAACAAGGCCAAAATTAATTTGTATAAGAACTTTGATATCATAAAAGAAGCAATGCTACATATGGAATGGTACTATGACAAGGTCAACAAAAGAAAGCTTACAGCAGCATTTAGTAACCCAATGAAAGGATAAGATGAGAACATCAATGTGATCTTCCTTCTCCGTTTAGACTTCATTCCATAAAATTGAAGCATCCTCTCCAAAACCTACATTGCAAGTGTCCTTTAAGAAAATTGTTCATCACTTTTAAAAACAAGCATAAAAGAGTTTTATGACTACTACTGGCATAATAGAAAACAACAAAAGAATAATAGTTCATATCAGGATCTCTTATCCTTTGTTTTCGCAGTTCTCTCTCTTCACCGACATTAAATTTTGGAAAATAAATAATAAATAAATGTACTAGTTGTCAACAATTATTTTCTTAACTGCATCAGCCTATTGAAGACCCTGGTAAAGGACTATAAGCTGAAAACCTTGCAGAAAAGCACCATGGCATTGAAACAGGGAAAACAAGCAACGATGCAGACAAAACAAAAGAGTTTTTAACCATATCAACCAAAAAATGTACATTTTTACCATTGATTTTCTATATGAAACCATTACAGAACAGAGTAGCGCTCGTCAGTCAAGAAAGTCACAAAGACTGTTCAATGTATCCCGACTGATGAGCCATACTCGGTTCTGTAATGGTTTTGGGAGAGACTAAAGCTTTATAAGAGCTACCCAAATATTAAGTTAATCAAGATTAAATAACATCAACAAAGTAAAAATTGAGATGTAAGAAAATAGTGAACACTATAACTATAAGCAATGTTCAAAAACAAGGTACTATTGTGTCCAGGGCATCACAAAGGCATAACTGAGGGTACTTCTATCAATGTTATCAATATATAAGTTTACCTCAGTGACATTTTGCCCCCAACATGCTTCCTTCCATGTTGTGACAAACATCTGCAAAGACTCATCAGTAATTGAAAGACTGTTGTTGGTGTTGCTCACCACCTTGGCACTGTCCTCATTCTCCAGTGAAATTGCATCAACTTCTCCCTTTTGTCTCTTGAACAACTTAGAAGGAGCAGATTTATTGCTGGTTACATTTTCAGATTGTCTTTTCTTTTTGGTTGGCTCATCATGTCCCTTCCTAAGGTTGGCATTAAAAGGAGAATTTCCTGACCTGTCACCTTGCAACCCAAGCCGTTTTATCTCCTCAGTAGCAGAAGGGTAAGGACAGCTACTAACTCTCTCTGTATCTTTTCCAAATGGTGATGATGACGACTTTAACTGACTTCCTACAATAGCATTATCATTTTGACTTTCGTCTAAAGAACAAGCACTATCATCATCTTCTGAGCTAGATGTAAATCTTATGTGCGTGCCACTGAAAACCTTTTCTGCAGAAGAAAATGTTTCAACACGCCGAGAAATGGTACTGAAACGTTCATCTAGTTGCTTCTTCTGTGAGGAAAAAAGTGGACGCTTCTTCCTGCCCTCACTTTCCAACTTCAATGTCTTCAAGCATTTTTTTAAGGTGGATTGCTGTGAATTCCTAACTTCCCGTATGGCAGATATATACATACTGTGAAAATAAAAATGAGCAGTTTAGATCAGGAAGCCTATCCTGGTTTAACTGCCTCTTTTATGGATAAAACCAAAAAAACAAAAAAAGTAACAAACATCCCGACAGTAAGAACAATTATCTTCTGCCCATATATATGAGCGGGTGGTGAGCACTAGATCTACTGCATTTTAATATGGACTGTAAGAATTTTGTCTTTGGAGACAAACAGTGTGAAAAGATTGAATGCCTTTAGCCACAACTTTAAAGAAGGTGATCATTTTTCAATTAACAAAATGTTAAGAGAAAGTAAAGCTGTATTAACAATTCAGGATAGATAAATCTCCCATAACTTAACAAGCATTCAAGGAGAAACAATGAGGGAAAAAGCATTTGCCAAAAAGAGGAGATGAGAATCAATTACAAAGGGGTTTCCAGTCTAAGTTGTGGCAAAAGAAATCAACCATGGCAGAGTGCCCAGGGTCAACACTGCTCTTAATCATGAACTAGCACTGATATTTGACATTTAAAATCAGATCGTGACAAAGCCAAGTTCATCCAACTGCTTGAAGTCGAGTATCAGCCTTAAAGAAACATTGAAAACAAAATAAATTGAATCTAGAGGACTCTGGAGAAATCACGACTGCATTAGATCATGAAAGAAAGCTTTCCAGATATTCTTCAAGAAATTCTGAGACGATATCCCTCCTCCACCCCCACTGTCCTACTCTGTCTGTGTACACATGCATAATCCTACACACTAAGCAGTGCCTAAAGCAGACATCATTGGTGCTCACAATTGAATTTGTTCTATTGAAAGTATCACCCATAAGCATATTAATTTAGAACCATAATTGCACAAACATTTATCGCTCATACTAATTTTGAATTTGTCCTGCCAAAATTTTAATAAGAAAGCTTATCTAATCATAGTTGCACAAACGTTTACCATTCAACTTCAACTTGCTGCAACAGTATACAATAAATTTTATCAAAATGCACAATTATGAAAACATACCCCAAGTTCTGAACTCGAATTCCAAGCAATTCCTTGGATTTGACTGATTTCTTCTTGGCAATAAAATCCAATAACTCTTCAACCCTGATTTCTCCTTTTTTAGAAGCATCTAATAACTCAATAAGGAAGTATATTATCTCCTCGCTAGTTATCTTAAACACTTCAGTAACAAGGGAAGGAATTGAGAAATAATGCATCACTAGAGGGTGCCGTAAAAATGGTCCCACCCCTAGATCTTTAAAATCATCAACACCCTCATGCTTGCAAATTGCCACTTCCAAATCATATAATGAAGTGATTCTTTGAACTCCAACAAAGCAATGGACAAATGCATTTACCTATGACAAATTAAAAAAAAACAAAAGAAATCAGAAGAACAACTTCTCATTGTAAACTTTGAGACAAGTTCAGCACAGGAAAAAAGCATTCTCTTATCAAAAGTGTACTTTCGCCTACTATTAACTTTCAGAAACGGACGAAAATCATATCTCACTAAAATGTGACAATTTTCAATATTGCATGCTTTCCAAGTCTAAAACAATTTTAAATCGTAACATGAATGGGGAGGTTTGACCAGGGAAACCTGACAAAATAAATCTGCTAATCAAAGTCACAAGTTAGGCCAAGGTTAAGAAAATTACAAAGTTGTGTCTGCTCGTGGCTATTTCGGCTGACTGATCTTCCAATATTCTAAACTACCTACCTTGTAGTAGGTTTGATAACGTTTAGAGTATTAGGTGTCAGCACAATGGCTTTCAGTTTCAGTGATTTCAATTTCAATGTTAATGTTGTTTTAAACAAACAGTACACTTGCTTACAAAACGGCTTTACAAGGTTTCAAAGAGAAATAGTGAGGTGAAAATAATCACTGATTCAGTATACCTTTCCTTCAATCATCAATAGACGGTGAAGAGACGAAACTTGCTGCATTTTGATCCCCAAGGAGCTCCATGAATCAACTTGGAGCATCAACAATGCTTTCTGAGATACATTCCAAGCGGAGACAGACTCTCCAGCCTTAAGAAGATCATCACGAACCTTAATAACAGCAAGGTCAATCTTCTCTAACAGTTCTTTGGGATTCACAGAAGAACTTGGGGTTTGGACCGAACTGGAAGGAAACTGCTGAGCAGGAAAACAGCATACGTTTTGAGGAGGCAAAGCAGGGTTTTGCTGGAAAGGCCAACAAGGGTCTTGAAGGGGGAAACCAAAGTTTTGAAACTGAGGGTGAGACAAGTACGTTGGGACTGGTTGGGAGGAGATGCCAGGGTTCTGAGTGTGAGGTGGGTAAGCTGGGACTGTTTGGGAGAAGATGTTAGGGTTTTGGAAGTTAGCGCCAACGTTTACAGGCGGCGCCGCCTGCTGTTGAGGGCAGCCGCCACCGCGAGGGTGGGATCGCTTTGGACGTCCGTACATTCGAGGGAAGGCGACGACTGATACGGAACGACCGGGCAACAAGTTTTTAAAATGAACATTGAGAGGTTTTTTTTCTTTTTTTCTTTTTTTTTTTTAATGAGCCAAACTGAGTTTGATTGAGATATGCTTGTGGCTTTCACGGTAACGCATCTGTTGAAGAGACTAACAATTAGGCCCCAACATATTCAATTAATATCACTCAAGTTTTTAATAAATTTTTTGAGAAAATTACAATGAGATCTCACAGAAAAAATTTAAATACAATCAAGTTCCATGAATAAAAGAAATTCTTTTAAAATCCCTTGATCCTTAGGGGTAATTTTAATATTTGAGAAATGATAAAAATAACCCTATTTTGAATTCTACGGCACAATTGAAACTTCCCACTTTGCCACCAGTTATCAAACTCCCTCTCATCTCTGCATTGTTACCTCTTCTCAAATCATTAAGTGAATCTCTTCTACCCTCTCATCTCTTGGAAACTTCTCACCCCTAAGTGGCTTCACATCTTGTCAAGTTTTAGGTTAGTGAATCATCGTCTTCGATGTGGTTGTCGTCTTCAAATGGGTCAACATTTTCTTTAGAGATTCAGATTATGATTGCTCTTCATCCTTTCATTCCTTCACTTACTCGACCATCCTATTTGCATATAAATTAGAACTTTAACTTATGTTTCTCTCACAATGGTTGGCTGCATTTGCTAGCAAAGATCTTGCATCACTCGCATTTTCTCTGTATCTCTCCATGCCATCAAGTTCATTTTCCCCTCTTTTTAGTGCTTCTTATGAAAATTTGTGAAATGGGAAAATCATTATGGTGGTTCTGGTTGTGAATTATAATTGATTGTGTGCAATGCATATATGCTGGTAAGGCAATAAGAAATTCAGTCAAGAGGGTAATTAATTGCTAAATGAATATATGCTAATGACAAGTAGGGTGTAGGACGATAACAAGTGTAGTTAAGAAATTGACAAATAATATACATGGCATTAACAACTAAACAAGTATTTGTTGGTGACTGGTGACAAGTATGTTATAGGTGAATAACATGTTTAGTTAGGAAATTGACAAGTAGTGTATTGGACATTAATTAGTAAATGTGTATCTGCTAGTGACAAGCAGGGTTAAGACAATAACAACTTGACTTAGAAAATTAACAAGTAATGTACTGGGCATTAACAAGCGAATGGTTATTTGCTAGTGATAAATAGGGTTAGGATATTAATAAGTTCACTTAAGAAATTGACAAGCATGCATATATAGTTGTATATATAGGTGATTAATGTGTGTCATATGTGTTGTGATTTTAATTTTTCCTAATATTAAACTTTATGAATTTTCAGTCAACTAAAGATGAAGAGAGAAAGGAATATAAATATTTTTGGTTATGCAAAATTTGTTGAAAAATTCTATAAGAAGAACAAGGGCAAATATAAATCGATTAGGGAAGGACAGGGAAATTTGACAAAAGCATGGGAGGAGTTATCAACAGCAAAAAAGGAGGAGTATTCAAAGAAAGCAAGGGCGGAGAGAGGAGAGACATCTGCAAAATATACAGTTCCCTTTCATACTCATTGCTCTCCTTATCAGTTTTCAAAAGTTGAAAAACATGTTAAAGGAAAGGACAAAGTAAGAAAAAGGTGTGAGAAAATTGGGTTTGACAAATTGCTCAATATAGAATGCAAAAACATATATAAAGATATTTGTGAAGAGTTGATGTGGGCACTTGACCCCCCCAACCCGATAAATATGCATTAGAAGAAAAATGAGAAAAATAAATGCAAAGGATATGCAAAATTTGATGGGTATAATGAATGATTGCGCTAAGGTAAGTAAAGATGTAGATATTAATGATAAATCATTTAAGAAATTGAAGGAAACTTACTTTAAAATGCCTTACAAGAAGATTTTGAAAATGATAACATTTGAGAAAGAGGATGCTTAGTTTGAGTTTTTGTTTCTCATGTATACTTTGGAAACTCTATTGTGTCCAACAGCAAGTATAGGGGTCAGTGACCATGTTTTGAAGGTTGTACATGAAACACGTAAAGCAATTGGTAAATATGACTGGGCAACATAAGTGTTTAATGAACTATGTAGTGAAGTAGATTTGCGAAAACAACAACTTAGTAAAGGAAAGACAACTGAAAGGAAGAATGTTGGAGGATACATCTACTTTCTCATGGTAAGTGTTTGGTTGTAATTTATAAATTGATAAAATGTGAATCGTTATATTTTGAAAGTGTCATTAATCAAAACCAATGAAAAGTAGGTTCATCAAACAATTTAAAACTCATAATTATAAGAACTTATCAAAACGAGTAACAAATGTGGACACACAGTCCATGAGTGTAATGCTAACCAAACACCGCTTGAAGCCATGAAAACAAACGTGAGTACAAGACCCACGAATAACAAACATGAAAACAAAGTTCACGAAAATCAAACTAGCTAGTCATTGACCATAGTGTGCCAAGAGCTAACAGAACTGCTGTTAGCAACTAACATTTTGTATAAAGTCCCCTTCAAATCCATTTTCAGACATGCAAGGAAATCATCAGAAATATATAAAGTTTTCATTTTCAAAGTTGAACTCGCATGAATCATTCTTTGTATCAATCCAATATTTAATAGAATAAAATCTCATAATCAAAGTCCAAACTTGTATTTACTAATCAACTAAAATTATCAAATCTGATAAAGATTTTCACAAAATAAAGTAATTTAAGTATTAGAATAAGCAATAATCACATTGTTGTTATTAAAATGATTTACATAAAAATGTAATGTTTTAGCAAAGATAAATTTGATTGAAAAATTAGTTGGGACATTATCCACTTACTTGAATTTCTCAAAATTTAAATTTCACCTCTCAACTTTAATCAAATTTCTCCTCTTCCAAACATCCTAGGAATCATAATTAAATTTTATTAAACTTTCAACCAGTGCAATAATTCCTTTTTAACATCATTCCCACCAATAACAACTATAATAAATTTAAAGCTTTATAAAAAATCAAGATTTTACACTTTAAAATCCTTATTAACATTCTAATTTTTCATCTACAAACCATCCATCTTTAAAGGTTCAAATGATCACATATTGTTCATTTTATAGCCAAACCTCCCTTGTAATCTTCCAAATTAAGTTCAAAGATTAATAATACCAGAGCTAACTATCCTTCCCACAAAAATCAATGAAATTTCAAAAATAATAAAAATAAATTTCAATTTCTCCTAATAGACATTTTCTCAAACACCCTACATACATTAATTATCAAACTTAAACCAAATCTCTTTTCTTCAAATTTCATTTTTTCCAAATTTCTTTCTAACATTAACATTTGAATAATCCAACCTTTCAATTTTAAGCACTCTACATAGGCAATTTTAGACCCAAAAAAATTGAGTTTATTCACTTTCATCAAATATATAATGCTAAATTATCAATCTAAGCCAAATTCTCCTCAGTGTTTAAACAAGCACAATAGCAAAAAAGAGGATTAAAATGACAATAATTAGACATCCAAACCACATATACACAAAGCAAGAGGGAAGAGGACTTGAATCTTACCCACCTTAAAGCACAATTGATGAAGAAAAGGGGAGGAGGAGCTGAAACTTATGGCTGAATAGGGGAAGAAATTTTGGCAAAAAGAAGAAGGACATAATCAATAAACAACACCAAAAACTAGAAGAATCATGAGCAGCACCTCAACTTCCTCATACACCAGCATTGCTGCAACCAAATGAAGGAGGTAGAACATTAAATAGGGAAGATGAAGGAGAGATAGCTAACAGGAAAACACAAATCGAGGAAGAATAGAGAAGAATGAACAAAAAGGAAAACTGACTAGCACATTCCTTTGACGACGGCAGCAAGGATTGAAGCTTGACAAAACCCTTTTTAACAACGATTGACAGCTACACTCATAAGAGAAAATAGAACAAAATAGAGAAAAATATGGCAGCGAATTCGAACGTTTTCTGCAAGGTAAAGATGAACCCATAATCACTGATGATAATGATATAAAAATAGAAAATGAAGCAAGGTCAAAGATCACAGCATGGTGGATCCAAAATTTTCTTTTCCTCTCCGGCGAACTCATGACAGAACAAGGAAAGAGAGGAGCAAATAAAATATGATGACATGGGGGTATTTTGGTAATTTTTAAAAGCTAAAAAGGGAGCATTCAAAAATAAAATTTCTCACTTAAGGTTGATGGGAATCAAACTCAGGACCTTATTGATTAAATGAGAGTTTACTTTCTACTAGACTAGCTTTTCTTGTTGCTGAATTTCTTCCAAAATTAATAAAAGTACAAGTAAAAGACAATATTATATAATTTAATTTTACTCAAAATTTCTGGGTTATTACAATGTGCTTTCAGTCACTCGGTATGTATAGAAAGTGGTCTTATATTCATGTACAAATTTTGACATACTGAGATTGTAGGAAATAAGAAAGATGTAGGAAAGAGTATTGTCTACCCTTGGTAAGAAGTTGATGAACCTACAATTGAAGCTTCTAGGGGATTCAGAAAATGTTGAAAAGATGAAAGGAGAGGGTGATGAAATAGAAAAATAAGCACATGAGGATTCTGAAGAAGAGGGTGAAGAAAAGGTTAAGGAAGGTGATGAAGAAAATTCAAAAGAGAGTGAAGAAAAATATAACGAAGCTATTGAGGAAGAAGATAGTGATGAAAAAGATGAAGAAGCTAATGAGGAAAATTCAGAAGAAGATGAACAAGCAGATGAGGAAAATGTTAAAGAAGGTAAAGAGAAAGATAAAATAACATATGAGGAAAAATTTGAAGGGGATTGGGATGAAGGAGAAGAGAAAGAAGCAAAAGGGAAAGGAGAGAAGGCAAATTCTGTACATTAAAGTATGGATAAAGAAGATTCTAAAGTGGAAGGGGAAGTGTGACACCCTCAAAAACTTACAGACCGATTTTTTCACAAATTATTAATTCAACAAATTATTTTTTTTCATTGAACCCTTATCATACCCTTATCATGGTAGAAAATTTTCTTACCATGATACATCCAAGACATAAC